TAACCGCACCAATAATGCTCTTGAACACGATAGGAACGTTTAAGATAAAGATTTAAAGCAAATTTTTTGTTTTTCCATTTCGTCTGGTGTAATTAACTCCGCATAGTAGGTTCCCAGTTTTGTGACATGGTGGATTGATCTTGTGCATCAAAAAGAAACAGAAGAAAATTTTAAGATCAAATTTATTTTCTCCCAAAAGATGAGCTGACACTAACTGAAACAATATAAGAAAAGTATACACCAATAGTAGTTCATCACAGTTAATTTTATCATGACTCTGAATCGAAAATGGATAGGTAATTTTTTATCTTTTAGACTGCTGTATGAATACTGTTGAACCAGAATTTAGGTGGTTGACAACGATAAAACCCCACTAAGTTACTGTTTACGCGAGATGTCAGGGATCATGAAATATTCCGATCGATAGCATGACATAAAAGTCACAAAAGTACTGTAGGAAAAATGTTTTACCTCATATCGCGATATTTTAGCATGATCGTGCAAACAGTAAAGTTTCCCGTTATAACAACGATGACAAGAACGGAAAGGACTGTCGCACAAGTAATAGCTATTGTGTCTGGGACTGATCGCATGGACATATTTTATGATGGTCCACCTAGAAAAGCGAAAAAAAAAATAACACCAATGATAACAATAAAAGAAAGTGCGATGAAATATACAAATGGATTGGGCCGTTAATAACTACCTTTGGTCTGTTAGGTTTTTTTTAGCATAGGAAAAACTTAATAATGTAAGAAGTTGACAGCAAATTATTTGTTTTTTTCACATGCACGTTCTAGCTCATTTCGTAATTTCGCGGTTATTTCTATATCTACTGCAGATTAAATTTAGACAACGGTGGTAACCTTTCCCAAGGTGATAAATATGAACGTAAAAAGTTCCAGATGAAACAAAGCATTAGTTATGGAACATCAGTTTTCAATGCCTTTGACTCACCTCGTCTGTACAGACTTCCGCTCTGTTTCAATTCCAAAGCAGGAAAGATGCGCTAAGGTTATTTCAAACCATAGCGTGTGAAAACCGTGATATCGTACAAAAACTGACAGACTAAGAATTAGGGAAACTCTCCTATCTAAGTCCAACTAGAAAACATCGAGGTAAGTGTAATATTCCTTTGAATTGACGTTAAATTCAACTCGTCAGTTTGTGCTATTGTTATTAAGACAAACAAACTTATCAGCCAATAAAAATAATCAAGTAATTGCACCTGTTTTAGAACCCTTCTTTTAATTTGTTGTGTCAAAAAAGTTTCCACAAGCTTCTCAGTTTTAGCGGTGCTCTATAATTAGGCATAATTCTAAACTGTTCAGCCTAACTGATAATTTTTTAAAAAATTTTCTCTACTCAGCATTACGTCGCTGAAATGGGATTCTAGAGTAGTGAATAGGCTTTGGTTCAAATATACGTCTGACGGCAGCGAGAATTCGAATCGACAGAGGGTATGAATCAAGATAATTTATAAAACCAGATCACGCAAAACTCATGAGAAGTTATGGAGGCTTCATTTGCGAGATAATGACTTGTTGTATTTTGAGTACAAACTTAACAGATTGAGATGTTATCTATCTTTCATCTTTCTCTGAGAAAAGGGAGTTCAGAAGGTGCACAGGCCCACAATCAAACTCCACTTTTAATAAGTTCAGTTAGTCACACAAGCTGACATCAATTATATGGTTTTCCATAAAACCAACCGGCCGTAAATTTGGATTTACGAACTGATAAGCAACCATAGAAGCATTTTATTTTTGATAATAGCTTAAACAACAAAGCTTTAATCGCTTGACTTCAACAGGCCGGTATGTTGTATAGTATGTAGTATCGCTCAGACGTTTTCGTGTGTTGTATCGCTTAGGGCGAGTCAAAATACAAACAAGGAGTCAAAATACCCAACCATACTACACACACAAGTATGGGGCGCCAAGAGGAGAAAAATGCCTTTTCGAAATGTTCCTTTTCTTTTTACATCAATAGGTCCTAAACTAGAGAGTTTTGTTGTCAATACGCGTAATAGATTTTAGCTAACAGAAGTA